CCCTGATTTACAGAAGAGACCCACTAAAATGTCATTCAGTGTAACAATCTTATCAGGCATATTTACAACAAAAATCAATTAATGACATATTAACAGACTAATTACTTTCACCCCAAATACTAATTAGTTGTAATTTTACATTTTTAAAATGTGCCTCTATCCTAGGTTTTGCCCAATCGTCAGTAAGATTTTTTTACTAATTTAAAACACAATCAAATGTACTATGCTGTCTTATTCTTTTATATATTTTAATATGTACACGTCAGAATAAGCATGTCGTTGAATTTTTACATAAATATTAGTGTTACACTGAATGACAATGTAACATCATTTCAACCAAATTGTAACATTTTATTCTCCAAAAACTTAAAAGTAGACACTTTGCTTACATTCAATGTGCTTTCTATGGACATAAAATCACCTTAATCGTCTTAACGTCTTTGACCCATTTATATACACATAATAAATATACACAGAACACACACATATATTATGTAAACAAAAACTTTTATTTTGGATGCGATTAATCGCGGATTAATCGTTTGACAGCACTAGAAATAATTATCTTTTTAAATTTTTTTAGCTATATCGTTCATCCCTATTAATTATTATGATCCTAAATGCAGTAATATGACTGACTAATATATTTATAATAATACAATTCGTGTCTACGACAGCATTCACATCTTACCCGATGACGAGTGGCATTTTTTGGGCAGCAGAAATGTGTACGGCCTCTGTTTGAACGTCAGATCAAATAAATACACCTGCAAACAGGAAGCAATACTGGGTAACTGCGCATCAAACATCTTCGTCAGTAACGAATCAGCATAATCAGCAGCGAGCGTCACTAGTTTACCTGCTCTCCACCCATGTTCACCAGCAGCTCGGTGCCGTCTGGACTGAATGTGACGTAGGTGGCCACCAGAACTCGTAATCTGTTATTATAGTCAGGAAGCTTCACAGGCAAGTGACCTACAAACGGAGGGAAACATCTGTAAAACCTGTTTTCCCAATAGAGACAGAGCACATTTAGGCCACGCCCCCACACCACAATCCAACGCTCTCCATTGACTTTGTATTGCGGGAAGCTGCCTCCTTGTCATTATATAACAGGTTCACATCGGGTGGTGAAATATTTTTTGTTATAAGTCAGAAATGACAAGGAGGCAGCTTCCCGCAATACATTATCGCTCTGTCTCTATGCAGAAGATCATCCATGAGAAACACCGCGATACTGTCGACAAACCTGCGACATAGTACTGTCCAGCGCCGTCCGGTATCGATTTCTGCTTGTCGCAAAACGTATGAACACCGGCTGAGCTACTCTGATTCATAGACTTCCTAGAAGAAGGTTGAGAAGACCGTAACGTTACACACTAAAGAAAACATCCCTCAAAATTATAACAACATGGATCTATGTATTGTATATTCTGGAATATAATGTGACTTGTGTCTTAAAATGTCCATATAATGCAACTAACGTCAAGCACGCAAATATGTGCAATATTTACATTTATAATACGGATAGTTCCGGTCCTTGATTCTGATTGGCTGAGCCGCGTTCGAAGCTGTTGTAAATTACTCTACAAAGTAACATACACCTTTGTTTACGTTTGTCTGTTGCTCGGCAACCACTTTGTTGCAACCACAACTGTTTCTGAGGAGCTACATTGTTTGGTGGAAGAATACTGTTTTTATTAATATCATTACACTTTATTTGCTCTGTTTTATTTAGTGAAACCTTACTACGTATATGGAATAACCGTTTTATAAAAGCAATAAGCCCCGTGAAGCCGTGGTTTACAGTGAATTTATAACAGCTAAGGGCCGTTGTTTGGCACGACAAAAAAACAGCTAAATCCCCTCAGCTGTTATAAATTCACTGTAAACCACGGCTTCACGGGGCTTATTATTATCTGCAAAATTAATACATTATAGTGTTTGTAAAAGTTGTGTTTTAATTTCCAGTATTTTACATTATTTCTGAATTTAGTAATAAAACGAGGCTTTAATCCCCGTTGCGATTCAATAATGCAATTTTGACCAGGTGCAGCTTATTTTCAGAAAAATACAGGTACAGTATTTCAAGCAATATTCCAGCCAAAAATTAATGCATTTTTGATTGAACACAAGTGAATGAGATTTGAGAGCTGCTGTGGAGGGGGAAGTTATTAACAAATAATGCCTGTCTGTTCATTTTAACAATAATAATCACCATTGAATTTGTTTTGTATGGACATTCTGTGTTTACTAGTGAAGTATTCCTTTAATAACACTGAGATGACCTGTGATTGTGGATCATTCGGATGTCGTAGAGCCGGACGAAGGGCCCGTTGGCTCCCACAGCCATGTAGTTATTGTCACGAGGGTTGATAGCCAGACATTTGGCTTCCACGAGCTGCCCACAATACTCCGTCAGATCGATTAACACCTCCGAGCGTTTACTGCTCTCTCTCAGATCATACTGCCTGATGGGAAAAACACAGACCACAGGCTTGAAAACGACTGCATGGTGAAAAGTGTCTCTATATGACAGAGGCTTGAATAGCAAGAGAGACTGGAAAAGAACATTTACATTTTGATGCCAGATTAATTTTTCCTTTTGTAATAATTGTTCACAATCAGACCAGAAACTTCCGTAAAGAATGTAAACGGAGCCAATTCTGATTTCACATTCAATTTAAATAGGTGCACATTTGTGACCCTGGACCACAAAACCAGTCATAAGGGTCAATTTGTCTTAAATTGAGATTTATGCATCATCTGAAAGCTGAATAAATAATCTTTCCATTGATGTATGGTTTGTTAGGATCGGACAATATTTGGCCGAGATACAACTATTAGAAAATCTGGAATCTGCAGGCTCACATTTAACATTTTTAGCATTTTTGCTGCAAAATCCAGTCATTTCAATAGGAATCTACATGATTGGGAATTTCATGTGAAATGCAAATTTTGCAATGAGATTTTGCATGAGGACTTTGAGCAAAAAAAGCTCAATTTCTATTTTTTGCCTGCAAAATGTGGCTAATGCGATGGCACCTTGTGTTTAAAAAGCAGCAGTAAAAGCTGTGTCCTCTACATGTCGGCTCTCGCGTTAGTCAGGGACCTGCTGTGTGTTTTCATGTCCACACATCATTCAGAGCCTGCAGCCAACACAACATCTGGAGAGGCTTGAACAGAGTTTTCAAGGGCATACAAGCCGTTCCCACGAGCCTCATTAACCTCGAGGAGACGTATGACTGAACTTCTGCTGCAGGCTCGAGTCAGTTCCTTTGAGAACGAGACTGAGCTCGACTAGACTTCGTGTTAGTTCAGGAAATCTGATTGGACCTTGAGATTTTCAGAAGTGCATCAGGGTTATTACTGTGTTAACTGAAACTAAAGCCATCAAAAAAAAAAAAGTTGGTTGCTTGAAATAAAATAAATGCTAACTGAAATAAGATATAAAAAATCTTGGCCTTATTTTAATTTAGTTGCAACATATTTGCTAAAAATAACTAAAAATTAAACTAATAAAAATGCAATAGAAAATATACAGACGTATTACAAAGAACACACAAAAAACGACAAAACAAACAATAAAATTACATGTAACTAAAATTAAAAGCTCAATATATATATATATACACAGTGCCCTGCGAAAGTATTCAAAACCCTTCATTTTTTCACGTTTTGTTATGTTGCAGCCTTATGTTAAACTGCTTTAAATTACTTTTTTTCCACATCAATATACACTCCATACACCATAATGACAGAGCAAATAACAGAACTGTCACAACTTTGTAAATTTATAAAAAAAAAATAAAAAGCTGAAGTAAGCACATTGCATAAGTATTCAAACCAAATTCAGTACTTAACCGAAGCACCTTTACAGCCTCAAGTATTTTTGGGTTTGATGCGACAAGCTTTGCACATCTGCATTTGGCAATTATCTGCCATTCTTCTCCTCACCTCTTCACCTCTCAGGCTCTGTCATGTTGGATGGGGCAGATGCACATTTTCAGGTTTCTCCAGAAATATTTGATTGGGTTCAATCCCAGGCTGTGGCTGGGTCACTCAAGGACATTCACAGAGTTGTTTATAAGCCACTCTTGCTGTGTGCTTAGGTTCATT